GTGAATTTAAAGAAGCAGCAAAATTTGAAAATTTATTGATATCAAGTCAGGATATCCAGTTAGGACCTCGTATGGTTGAATTTTGGTTTTATTTGAGTCCTATTTTATCCTCATGTCATCTAGTTTGCTTTCCCAATTTTATTATGTAATTAGGCAGGGTAACCTCAAACCCACCTATCAGACTGCCGCACATCAGTCTTAGTGAAACCAACATCAAGAGTAGTATTCCCCACTAACAATCTCAATAATAAAGTTTTGAGCATTTGAGTGTCAGCTGTAATTTAAATTGCCTTACCTGGAGCCAGATACCCAAATGTTCCAGCTACAATAGTCGTAATGCGAGATTCCTCATCTTCTAATAATTTGGCTAATCCAAAGTCAGATACTCAAGCCTCAAAATTCCCATCAAGCAAAATGTTACTTGACTTTATGTCATGATATATAATTCGTGGGGAACAATCATGGTGCAAGTATGCCAGCCCTTTTGCAGCTCCCATGATGCTATTTAGACGTGTATCCCAGTCCAGCTGCTCAGATCTCTCTGCACATACCAGCAGAACAAAACAATGTTTTCCATATATTCAAGTAGCACATTTACAGACTGCAGTTGGCAATATTGTGAAGAGAAAGGCCATAGGTGGTGAAAGTTGCGCATCTCAAAATCAAAATATATCATGCATTCCACTAGGCATCACATGAATTAAACAGCATCAAATGAATCCATAACAATTTTTTGGCCAATCTTGTATCCAAATAAAACTGAGAGCTTCGGATTTTTGTAATATCATTTGTTGGCATATCTGGAATATTGTAAGATATCTGCTGATACATCATGATAACTTGTTAAAGGTATCAAATAATTGAACATCTTCATTCAGAGCTACAGAAAATGAATTATAATATAATTGTTAACACGGAATAAAGAAGTTCCATTCAAATCCATCTAGAGAACCACCTGATGAGATGAGCACAAAAGATTTTTACCACACCTTTCTTATGATGAGATGGGTAGGATTTCCAGCCCAACACAGTCAAAGCAAGTCAAGCTGTCAAAAGGAGTCTACTCAATTTTTAGTCAAAGACAAGTGAACTGCAAAGACAAGTTGACATATTCTTCAGTCATGCACAGAGCAGTATGAATGAAGAGAAGATATAGATGATCGTGACAGATTAGTGTTACCTGCATCCAGGCTTGTCAGTTTCCCATTATTAGTAAATTGAAAAGTGTCACCATTCCATTTGGGTAGTCATTGAAATTGAAAAGTAGGTAGCTTCCTTTGTCAAGAAAACTGAGTCACAAAACTAAAATTTAACTCATAGACAACACCTTAGAAAGTGCAATGAACAGGAAAATAACAATGTCAGCTCTTGGAGATGTAGGTCTTTGGTAAATGTAGGTAAATCATTAATATTCTATGAAAAACAACTATGGATTGAATAACGCATGTCCCAGAAGGTGTATTAAAATACTCTTAACTTAATGGCATGGGATACTCATTATCAGAAAGATCTGTTCCTTCTAATTTTGGGTTTCCAGCATTGACTAGACCACCAAATATCTGCAAGCAAAAGAAGACACATGAAAGACAAATTATGTTAAATTTTATACTGCAGACAAAGACAATCAGTCAACTGAAAAGAAATAAAATTGAAGACCACATGAAAGCTTTTGACATGACTTGGAATTCAAATTAGGTGAATAAGGAGTTCCATGTTTTGTTCTGAAAGTGAAAGATGTCAGAAATGTTAAGCATAACTAAGCAGAAATTTAGGACGACAAAGGCCACATGAAAAACTGTCTCTACACACAAAAGCCAAGAGAACAAAATGGAAGCAGGTGAAGATAGAACTTGTTTTACCTGTAAACCAAGAGAGCAATAGATGCATAGAATGCAAAATATGATGCCCATAAATGGCATCAAACTTGGTATGAGGGTCAAAAACGTGGCAACAAAGGCACGGTACCGCTGGACTTGCATCAAGAGCCTAATTAATCGTAACATTCTAGCAAGAAGAAGATAACGGATCCTGTAATTGAGGAGAGCCAATTAAATATATATCATGGAATTTAAAGAAATGATTGTGAGGCTAATCACTCTAGGCAATAGCTAGTACTAAACAAACTATTTTCCAGACATGAGTATGAATCAAGGAATAGAACTATATGATATGCCGTGGCTATTTTTCACGACATACCTCGGGTTTTCAATAAGGTTCATGCAAGTGGCTCATGATCCATTTTATTTATTTATTTATATTGGGTATGTGTCTAGGGTCATTAAATTGTATGAGATGTTTTGCATATAAGTGATGAGCACAATTTTTATGCATCTGGAGATGCAGGTTAACCAGCCTTGGATGTTTATCTATTATTTTCTTATGCAATACAACTGTACAAGTATAGAGGTGAAATTCGAACTACAAAAGCAAAATGTAGATGTGGATTCTATCTCTCACTAACTTCCTCTTGATTGCAAACGGACACACTTGAACTAATAAACTCATGTAAATTAAATTACCGAAAGTAAACCGGAGTTAGCATGGAAAAGAGGATACTTGTAAACTGAGTATAGCATCCAGAATAGATTCATCGGACATATTTGCAGGTCAAGATCACCAAGCTTATAGTTCCCCACCATCTAAATTCTTCAAGGGGTCATGTTAGAAGAAAACTAGTATCCTTGAGATTCCAACTCAAAGTATTAATATACAAATAAAGTACACATAAAACATGAGTTATTTGCTGCAACAATGGTGCTATCAAGGATGTCAATATTTTTCCATTCCAATGAGCTGCTTCAAAAGCATATAGTGTTTGGAGAGGCTATCTTATCAGTATTTTAAATAAATGGCCATTCTATTAGTAAAGGTTGGCATAGCGGAGGTTACAAAGAAAATTTCGGCCTTAACTTGCACAAAGTGTCTGTCCTCATACTTTATTTAAACCTGTGTTTTAACCACTTAAGAACCAAAGCTTTAATCACTGTACCCTCTTTAATGGTTACATACTAGTATATCTTGCAAGCTGCAAAAGTATGACAGTAGTTAATTTATTTGTGTACTTCAGATATAGTATACATACCTGGGCCTTGCCCATATTAATGTATTACATTTTGACCTCAAAAACATTATTATGTTTTTTTAAACAAATGGGAAAATTTTAAAGGTATTTTGTAAGCAAGCAATAACTTACATTAGATTTGGACCAGGCCAGATCCAAGACATCACTAGTGTGGCCATGAAATTCTTGCAGTGGCAACTCCTCAATCTGATGAATTTTTTCCACCAACTCCTCAATAACTTCCATCCTCTTGTTTTTGATGAATTTTTTCCACTCAGCAGAAACACAACTTGTAGCAAATCTTATAATGGTCATTTGAATCTACGAAAGGATGCAATATTAATGAACAAAAAATCAGTTCTTTATTTCCTTTCCCAATAAAGAAAGGGTATCATATCTTTGTTTTATGAGTTCTCTTTTCAAACATGGTATAGTGGAAAAATGTGGTATAACACCAAAAATATGTAAAATACTAAAGCATCTTACCATTTTGTTTGCTTTCTTACACTGACATGGATGGCCCTCTTTGACCACTCAAATTGATGCCATTCACTTGTCCAGCCATCATAATGAAAAAGCATAATTTGAAAATCCTCAGAAAACTATAAAAAAATAAAATAAGATTACAAACCTCTACTTGCAACATCATAAAAATAATACATATAATGGAATGGTCCATTTGTGTAACCTTTTTCACTGCTGCATCAATGTTGTTCCTCTGATCCAAACCAACTGTGAATGTTACCAAGTATTTCGGCTTCATTGTCAAATCATGAAAGTTACAGAATGTTCTCCATAAGATGATTGGAGTTATGAGAGTAGTTACACACATGCCAAATCAATGGAAATGTCATAGTATGAGACGGTTTCTTTTTGCACTTATTTCAATTTTTAGTATTTTATGATGTGAGGGTTTCTCACTCTCTTGTCACCAACAATGATAAGCCAATTAAATCTACAAGCAGCCAACCCAACCGTACCAATCTTAACAAATCTAAGCATCACACATTAAAAAATAACCAAAACCTGAAAAGTACAGTTTTGCAAACAGGTTCTACACAATTTCAAAAAACGATGATAAGAGTAATATCCATTAAGCCTTTGACAAGAACATTTCAAAGACGAGAAAACTTTAGTTAAAGAATTATTAAGTAGAATATGCCATGGTCTTAGATATGTGATGAATTTTTATTTATTTTTTATTTTTTGATATTTACTCGCTAAATAACAATGTCTACTCTATTAGGACTTCCGAATTCAGATATGGTCATGGTTGAGTTGGAGAGTTAACAAGAAATTAAAAACTTTACAATGATTAAAACCAATTCCACCATCTAAAATAGGTAAATAATTGCAAAGTCCAGCACCATAACATAGTTACTTGTGTTGAACAACATACCTCACTGGGTTCACCCCATAGCCTTCGCAAATAAAAAGTGGACTGGGAGACTACAATTGCTGGAGGTAAGGACTCTGCACCACGAGGATTTGTTGGAACATATATCTGGGAGGAAAACCAAACACGAACAGGTTATCAGCCTAAACAAAAATTGAACATGAACTCTGGGAACACATTTTGTTTTGTAGCAACTGAGAAAAGATATGGGAAAAGCATGTTGAGCTAGTATTTCCAGACAAGGTATAACACAAATCGAGAGAGAGAGAGAGAGAGAGAGAAATCAATACCTCGCGATGAAGCTTTGAAATCGAGAGAGAGAACTTCAAGATTGAAATCGCTCTGAGATGAATCTCAAAATCGAAATCGCTCTAAGACCGATCTGAGAAATCAAACACAGCCTCTCCTGAGATCACTTCCTCTGCGATCGAACCAACCCCCTTCTCTCTTCTCAATCACCCAGAGCTTTAGAGCTTTAGATCGATCTCGGCACCCCCATTCTCTCTCTAACTCTCATCTCTCTCTTGATCGCTTTCTTCTCTTCCAAATTGTCCCCAACCCTAGGCGACGGAACGCCATTCATCTCCCACAGCGTCGCCGCCAGCTTCCTCGCAGACACCGGCCTCGACCTCCCACCACCGCTCGCCGCCGTCGTCCTCCAAGACGGAACCGGAGTGCTCGATCTGGATCCCCGAGGCTTACCCACCAAAATGGCCCGCTTGAATCGGTAATTCTGCAACACAGAGGACGAAGACGAAGACGAAGACGAAGAGCAACCCCCCTTTCGGATCTTGCAGGATCCGGGAATCAAACCCTCCACAACCCGATTCTGCCTTGGCATTATCAATTTCAATTTATCACACACTCTCGCTCTCTCTCTCTGATCTATGAAGAAGAAGAAGAAGAATGGACTTGCAATTGAAAATTCAAACCCTAGAAATTTATGATATGGGTTTTTGAAAGTGTATGTATATGCTTTTTCATAGCTGGAGCTGGTGGAGGGAGTGGGTTGGGGTAATCAGTAGTAGGAGAGCGATGCAAGCAGAAGGAAATGAGACACAGAGAGCATGAAGGAAATGAGACAGAGAGAGCATGCGAAGGTGAATGCGTGGTACAAAACGACGTCGTTTTAAAAATGGCGACCAAATTTTTTTGTCGCAAAAAAAATTCCATTCCCGCCTCTATAAAAATCAAATTTCCCTCCCAAACTTTTGCCGACCAAAAGACCACATTAGTCGCAGAAAAGGTACATTCGCCGACAAATTTTTTTCGTCGCCAAATCTCAATCAACGGCGACTAAAATATTAGTCGCTAAAAGTACTAATTTGGCGACAAATTTTTTTGGTTGCTGAAAATAACTTTTTGCTGACCAAATTTTTGGTCGCCAAAAAATATGTGACCTTCCGCGACCAAATTTGTAGTTGGTCGGCAAAAGCATACCACTTTCTACGACCAACTCATTTTTTGGTCGCCAAAATATAACCTTCAGCGACCAATAATATCTGGTCGCCAAAAATAAAGATCAATCGCGACTAATTAATATTTGGTCGCCAAATGTCATTTTTTTGCGATCAAAATTTTTTTGGTCGGTAAAAGTGGTCGTAAAATGTGTAAATTCTTGTAGTGGTTGCAACGCTGGGCAGGTTCCATAATTAAGCGGTGGTGGTCAATGAGTAGCACATTTTGTAAATAATTTTATGGTGTTATATACATAACAATCTTCATAATCCAAAATCGTAAACTATCATAATTTTCACAAATAATAACATAATGCGAAATATAAATAACATACCCGGATCAGTTATACGAAACCTTCAAGTGACCCAAAATTGATTGAACATAAACATAATAATAATATTAGTGGAAAAAAGTTTCTCCCTCTTGACCCTCTTTAGAATATATTGAATTTAGAATTATTTTGATAGGTAGTTTGAATGTCCTTTTATAGGTAGAGAGGGGACTAGTTTCCTTATGCAACAATGATTCCACTTTCCCATCAAAGTATGATACTTGGAAAACACTCTTCTTTATTTACCAATTAATTGTAACAAAAATATGGAATCATAATCTCACCAAATCTCTAATTCATATTATCATATCATGTGAGTCAATATAATGACTAAATAAATAATTTAGTCTTACATTCTCCCACTTGGCCCATATGAAAACTTACGTCAAGATTTAACAAGGTTAACATTAGGCGCGCAATAAACCATATTCAATATTACTTTTAATTTGGTTATCATCATAATGCTATAATTAAATAGTTCATTAATATGAGTCATGAGGTTCACACCAATAGTGCGATATAGTCCCTTCCATGTACTACAACACTAGCAACTAGTTTTTATTCCAAGCCGAAGTCATCCTTAGTCTAGTAGTATCTTGGAACCCCTTGTTGTTGATCTCCGTCCTTTGTTGACCTCCGTCCTTGCCTCGACCTCATTAGCCGAATGTTACCTTGCAACCTAGCGATCTCGTCTTGGAGCGGTACGACCTAGGCCGAGGTGTGGGAAACTTAGGTCACGCCTTGCCTGAGTCATACTAGCCGATGTTATTCCTAGCCGAGGTCATTGTCACCTTAGATGCCGAAGTCCTTTGTTAGCCGATGTCACCCCTTGCCGGAGCGGCATTCCGTGTAGCTGTTAGATACACCTTGTTGTTAGCCGATGTCATCGCCCGTCAGAGAGCCCATACCGCTTTGCTTGTTGAACACCCTTCCATCATGCTTTGTCTGGCCTGTCAGCCACCTTTTCAGGTAGAACCCAACCAGTCGCCGCCACGTGTCTCAGCAGAGGGTTAACCCGAACCGAGTAAGAGCACTTATCATTTTTAGTGTTATAACCTTGCCTTGTAGAGAGAGAAGCTCTGGGAGGAAGAAAGAGTTTTAGAGTGAGGAAGTAGATCTTCAAGCTTGATTCCTAGAGATCGAACCGTTAGATCCGCGTTCTAAGGTTAGATTCTTGATCTGCTCACGGTGTTCTCTATGTTCATGTTATTGCATTGCATGATCGGATATGATTTGTAAGCCATGCATCGTCTTGAAATTCGGTTTTAGAAAGAGAAAATGACATTCATGTGTTCTTCAAGAAAAGTCATGTTTTGATCCGAAAGTTTTTGCCTAGACTCGTGTTTTGTGTCTGTTCTTGCATGATTTTCAACTATGGGTACCCAGGTCCATGTTTTCAAACCCGTAGCATGAAAATCCCAGATTTGGGATAATAGATTGTGAACGAACATTCATATTTTCCATGTTTTCATACTCATGTTCTTCATATTCATCAGCAGAGGGAAACCCAGAGTTTCCCGACCTCTTTTCCTTGCATATGGCCCTCGGAAACACACCTCGGCTTAGACCTGGTTGGTGCCCAGTATGTTTTCCAAAATCGTTTGCATGCATGTTAGACTTGTTTTGAGGAATATGTTCAAGTACGCTTTGCTATGTGATTGTAGGACTTGGACCTTGCTTGGCCCCGACGTTTGAAGAATTAAGTGAGTGGTATTTTTAATAAAGCTATGTTACACTTGCTTTCATAAATCTCGTCTTGCCTTGTTTTGAAATAGAGGACTCTAAACTTTTGCAGCACAGCTTGTCTTGACAGTCCTTAGTGCTAGAGGACTCTAAACTTTTGCAGCACAGCTTGTCTTGACAGTCCTTAGTGCTAGAGGACTCTAAACTTTTGCAGCACAGCTTGTCTTGACAGTCCTTAGTGCTAGAGGACTCTAAACTTTTGCAGCACAGCTTGTCTTGACAGTCCTTAGTGCTAGAGGACTCTAAACTTTCGCAGCACAGCTTGTCTTGGCACTCTTGTCTTGATATGTCATCACCCCTTGAAATAAGTAGATGTTATTAACATCCAAGGAACTTGAAAGCCGGCAAATGAACTTGACTCTTCCCTTGATTGTAAAGTATACTATGTATTGTTTTGTAAGAGATCTTGGATGTCAATCATGCAAAACCTTTATTTCTAATATCATTCACTGAGTACCCAAGTTCACCCTCTCTATATATATATGTAGGTGATGAACAAGAAGGCATTGAGGCCTAGGCGTGATGCCGATGTGTTTTCGGTGCATTGCCGACATGTTTTGGATTTGCGTTTTGTATCGTCTTGAAGATTATGCTTCTCGGCTTATGTTTTCTCTTGTTTGTTTTGGAATATGTCGGCTTGAGAAGCCTTTTGGTCAGGATGTATTTTGTATCTCATTCTTGTTGTATCTAAATTGTAAGACTTGTAAAGATGCTTGATGTATGACATTCCATTGGACTTAAGCACGGCTCTCATGGACTACTCAGTTTTATATGTATATTTTGCTTCCGCTCTTGTAAGCCCCATATTTCATACTCTGATTGTGTGTGATTTTTGTAAGACGGCCTTCGGTAACCACGGGTTACTGGCCATCACGGCACCAAACTACTAGGGGCGGTTTGGTGGCGTGACATCCATACATTCGTCTTGCATGCACCGGGCTCGGTACATTATGCTAACCGCATTTGTACTTCAATTCCAAATTGAATACGTGCATCAAATGATTGCATTTCACATGCCATGTTCAGATTAGCCGAGCCTATTCTAACTGCATCCTGTATGTGTTGCATTAGACATTTGAAAATGAACTAGGATCACGCATGTTTGCTAACTAGTTTACTGTTTTGGCACGGAGTACGATGTAAGTATTTGCGCTTTAGCATCTTGCATGCGTGCGAATGTTGCCATGATAGCATACTTACCATGTGGCTAGATGCTTATGTGAGATAAACTGTTTGAATGCCTGTGGGTGAAGGTTGGATTGCCTGAGTTGGAATAGCTCATTGAAATCCGTATTTTAGCCTACTTGCG